TTGCAGGTGCTATGTTCCAGGGACCTCTGGCAAGCTGTCTGCCACCCTCCCGGCCCTTCCAAGAGCCCATACCGTCAGCAGCAGCAGCGGCAGCAGCGCCCCGTAGCCGCCATCAGCCTGGGCACCGTCCACCTCAGGGGGGTTCCGGAGCCCGTCGAGCTCCTGGTTTGCCGCCACGCGCCGCCTCCAATACGCGTAAACACCGTAACTGGGTTGGTGGTGGGCGAGCCGGAGGTGCTCGAAACCGGGGCCACTGAGGTTGAAGACGGACTGGGTATTTGAAAGCCCTGATAACGGCTTCAAGCCTTCAAGGGGTTTCGACCTTTGAGGGGAAAACCTCCAATGGAAGTCAACCAAGGAATTGGCTTGGTAAGACCAATGCAACAGGCATAGCGGTAACACAGGCCTAGCGCCAAGCATATCGCTTTGGATTTAAATTTTAAATTTTAACAGTGCTACGCCTTTGGGGTTCAGCGCGCGCTCTGACGGCAGCGGGCGGCTTCGATCCATTCCCGATGCGATGCTCACCTCGAGAAACAGGACAGGGCGGACGGCGACCTTGGTGATGAAAAGCGTCCGGGCCTGGGTTCATGTATGTGTGTATGTATGTGAGTATGTATGTGCGTGTATGTAGGTGCGTGTTACAACTTCTGGAGTTGCGTACATCTCTCCGGAGGTGTATAACCTGGGGGCCCCTAGAGCCCGGGGGGCAACAAGGGCTAATAAAAAAGTCTAATAAGAGGCATAAAGAGACTGTTATCATATCACTTAACACGAGAAAAGAAAATAATGTGTCGAACTAAATTGAAATACCCATACTGGTATATGCCGTAGCAGTGCGCCTACATGCTATTTCTGACCTTCTCAATAGCCAAACACTGTATAGGAGCTCCCAGGCCGAGAAGCTAGGTAGTAGCTCGCTGTAACAATTGTGGATAAGGTTCACCAACTTCAGCTGGTCAGCTGATGCCATCGCATCCGTCATAGTATATGTGTGTACCTATGTATGTGCGTATGTTACAAGTTACAAGTTCCGCACACAAGTGCGGGTGTGTCCGTAAAAGCCGGGGGGGCCATGGACGTTGTATTGGTATTGATGCGGGTACGCGGGAGGTCATCTTCATTCTCCCTCGTCCGCTTCAGGGCGAAGCGCCTCAGCGCGACGTGCCTGGCCTCCCAGATTTCCGAGAGGTACCTGGCCAATGCCAGGGGTGGCGCCTCAGTCATAGTGGTGCGCATGCTGCGCCCCGTAAGGACTAGGTCACCATCATACTTAGCCCGTATGCTCTTGTAAGCGGGACATTCTTCGAAAACATGCAACTCATCTTCAACCGCTCCACAGTCACAAAGCCTGCAGGTACGCGCGGTGCGCTCACGCCCATTAGGTCTATTAACCTCTAACTCCCAACAGCCTAACCGAAAACGCATGAGCACATGATGAAGTCGCTGGGGCATGGCCCCTGCGCAAGGATGACACCCACAAATCGAGAAATGGTTCCAAATTTTATCGCCTACTCCCGGAGGAGTGGTGAGTGAGCCTAATAAGTGCTAAGACATAGCAATTTGCAGTACGAACGCTCAATAGGTAGGTGAACGTGGGTTCAAATCACGGCTGATGCAACAACTGCGGTTGCGGTCAGGGTTCTTCGTTATGTGCGTATGTGTGTGTTCATAACGAAATATCGCTTGGGTTAGTTCGTGTATCGATTGGCGGGTTAAACCGGCAGGGGTGTGTTGTTTTGAAGGCACGTGTGTGTACACGTGTCTATGTAAGTATGTACGTATACCTTTGTAGTGTTATGCGCTACAGGTATGCGCATTTTTTCCAACGTAAGCGTATTTGTAGCTTAGATGCGGCAGGAGCAAAGCGAGTATAGCCTCTAAGCTAGGTTATGTACGGCAGCCGTATGGCTTGCTGAGAATTCGAATTTACTATTTCAGCTGACAGCTCCATAGTTCCGGCATTCTGCCTACACTATTGGAGCTTATTATTATTGTTGCTCTCACTTCCCCCCCCCCGCCCTCAGTGTCCCTCGTTTATAAGCGTTTATTTTCCCGCTATCTTAGACGGGCCCTGGTGTCTGTTTGAATTTACAAATGCGTGCATGGTCATGTGCAAGCATGCACCGCATCCTCAGGGGCTCTATGCAAGCTGGCTGCCCGTTGTAATATGGGCATTGCGGCCGTTATTCATGGCACGGCGCTAGAGCGCTTCTGTGCATACATATACACAGGCAGGCGGCTGGCAGAAGTTAAGGCCTGACTTCTGCTCCCAGTCGATCCAGTCGACCCGGGTTCAAATCCGCCTGCCAGCTCCTCGGGTGTTTGAGGAGTGTTGAAATGGGAGGTGGCCCCCCATCATATGGACGGTGTAGGACGTGATAATATCAACTTGCGAGCTGACCAGGAACTAAGTTGATGCGCCGTTGATCCGCTAGATTTGGTTGGATGCTGGTGGTGAGTTGCCGAACCCAACGAATACATTCTGAAGTCGGATGGGGTGACGGATTAGGGTGCCCCTCTAGCAGGGGAGAGCAGGGACTGCCCCGGGAAAGGGGGCCGCTGGCGAAGTTAACCACCCTGTAACAACATATACACAGGTCAGGTATTACCGGTAACGCACACACCGATGTCCCCGGAAGATCCGGGATCGAGATTTGTCAGGATTGATTGATCATCCCATGAAGATAAGAGGATGGTGTACGGTGGTGATCTGGAATTATTAAATTTACTATTGACCAGGAACGGATTTCAAAAACCGTTATTAATCCGGCTGATTCCATTGGATGCCGGTGGTGGGTTTTGATTCCTGAGCAATGCTCTGACATGTCGGCTAGGGTAACTGAATGAGGGTGCCCAGGTTTCGCCGGGTAAGAGATATGCCCCCTTGTCCCACACATCATACATGCACCGATGTAGTCGTAGAGTAGCCCTTCGTCTTTTGTGTACGTGTGTATATATGTAAGGTATGTAGTAACGTGCTCTGGGGCAAGAGTAGCGCAAGCAATATGCTGGTGCTGGTGCTGACCTATCCTAGTGGCCGCAGTGATGAGATAGATGGTTGCCCGGGGAAGGAACGGATTGCGGGCGAACGGCGCGCGGCTGGTGGGAGGATAAAGGGATGTTTGACCTGTTCAACAAACAGCTGCTCGTTTCGCGTTGCCTTCCGTTCCGTCACACAGATTCGTAACGAATATCGACTATGGAGAGGTGGTTTGTGTTTAGTCCCTAGGTCAGATGGCCTCTCACCCACGAGCTTTGAGGCCTCGTATTTCTTAGCTGCCTTGAAGGTATACGCGCTTCCACTGTGACGAGGAAAAACGAGTCGCTGTAACAATATCTCACATACAACACGTGATGTAGGTTGCAACAGGGGATTCCTCACGGACAGCGCGTTAACTTTTGCTAGGATTCCGAATCGCTTCAAGGCCGCATCCTTGATGGCAGCTTGCCCTTCGCGATAAACAAATATTTGGTAAATGCAGTTTTATTTTTTATCCATAGTTTTTTCGTCATTTTGTACAGATAACGACAATTCATGGCCTCTATCATCGCCTCTCTGCCAGCCAGGAACAGCTGCTCCCGTGCAAGCTGCACAGAAACTTGAGGTAAGTGCAGCTCAGGAAGCAGGCGAAAGCTTGTAAGTTAAAATACGGTTTGGTATCGTACACTTAACGAGTCGGTTAGGCCATAACGCCGGGCCTCGTAAAATACTTGTCTCCCGTGCTTTCACCAGTTGACAAACCTCACCACGCCAAATTACAGTCCGCCCTCCACGCCTCCATGCAGTAAACATCCATGCCTTGCCACATACGATAAAAAGGGTGTGCTTGGAAGGCAGTCGCGGCAAGGATGCAGTACAAAAGTCAGTACCAACTGCAGTATATGTGCGCGTGCGACAAACTGTAGGCGAACAATTCGCAAGCCGTCGCCGTCTCCAAACCTAAGGTGCGAAACTCCTCCAACCCATTTCTGGACTAAGCTTTGACAGAAGAATACGGCACGCAACATCACCCAAGCCCACGCGGGTTCGAAACCACATGACATGCACACAACCATCCACCGTGAATGCATCTGCTAAGTTCAATCTTAACGCCAACAGCAACGGCCGTGGAATGCCAGAAAAACAAATTGTCCACAGACTGAACCAAACTTGTCAACAAAGGGATTGTGGCGATGCCAATCCTCCCCGATAAGCCGTACATCAGTACTCCATATCTCAGCCTTCCCCCCAGGGCCGGCCGAAGGCTGTAACCTAATCAACGAGCTAACAACCCACCCAATACTTCCGTACCAGAAAGAAAACATGCAAACGTCTTGAAGGTCATGCATGTATGGTGGTCTGTCTGAAGGCTTCTGAGCATAGTCAAGCACCCACCACCTTCATTCGCGCACAGAGAACCCTGGTCATGAAAAATGCAAAGAAATCATCAGCCATCACAGCTTTGGCCGACCACCAGTAGCCGCCGCCATCCCACTGAAACAACCCTCCCTCCGGACCAGAGGCACATGCAGCACAACACGTGCCTCTACTCCTCAACACACGCTACCTGCTGCCGCCCTGCCGTAAAATAACTTACCATCAAACCCTCAGCGCGTTGCCTAATTGCCTTACCCTCGCGATGTTTGCCGCATGCATGTGTGCATGCATCCATTGCATCTTCGCACGCGTGTACCCGCTCCTTGGGAACGAGTAGGGTAGAAATCTGGGCGCGGCGCAAAATGCCATCCTCCTGCCACCACAGATAGGCGCACCTGCCCGTTGCCTGCCAAATATGGCGACATCGCTTAACCCCATGCAAAACCCCTAAACTAATCCCCAACCATCCATCAACATCATTGTCATTACCTTCATCACAATACAGCCCCACGGCGTCCACAATCAAAATGTCCTCTTACGCAGTGCCAAACCCTCTCAATTTTTTAATTTGGGGGCCTGTTTTTGCGATTGGGGTGCGCTGCAGCATCTGATCATATTCTGCTGCTGTTTCATGACGTGCGCACAGTTACCAGGGCATTGCAGACGCGGACCGCTGGGAAAAGCTGCGGCAGAGGCTGCAGCGGATTCAAAGAGACGCTGGGCAGAGGCTGCAGCGGTGAATTGCACGCCACCAACCTTTCCCACACGGCCCCCCTGCAAGCCCCTTCCAGGCGGGTGTCCAAATGAAAATCATAAATCCTTGTCACAGCCTGGCCATCTTTCTATCACCGATGCGTGTTGGGAGCTTGCTTTGTCAGCCGCGGTAAGCGGGGCCCTAGACGGTGGGTCTGCTACCCACAACCTGCAAGGTTTGGCACTGTCCTCAACATACGTATGCCCCTCCCTCAACGCATGCCTCCATTCAATCTGTGCGTGTGTGTGAGGCATGTCACACCATATCCCCTGCCACGGAGCTGTAATATTTTGCACCTGCCCACCCGCCCTTCCCGCAAGACCGTTACGTTTCCTATGCCATAGCTGTTTCAGCCGGCAATGCACCTGGCAGGATTCCCGTTCCACTGCGTCAAACGTAGCTGCGTTGCCGCACTACGTGTCTTGGTGCTCTGCTCATTCGCTTGTGCAGCAGGACATGCCTTCCTAAATGTCAAGACACACTTCAGTCCTTCCGCGGCCGTGAAACACCTTCCACCATCAGCAATGGCAGCAGTTGCATCCGCCCGTCGAGGAAGGAATCATACAGAGGTCAAATCTTCCGCAACGATGCTCCGGCTCCGCTTAGATATCCAGGACTGTCCTGGATGCATTGACCGGCACCGCAACCGGCTCCGACCAGCCAACCACGTCCAGGTGCGACCGGCCGCGCTGAGTTGGCACAGTGCGCTTGGACTTAACTGGCAGTTGGTCGATGGGGCACTGCAACGGATGCAACAGCGTCAGGTGGTCAATGCTTAGCAACATCAGGTTGTCCAACTGAAGGACGTGAGGCCGGGCGACGAAGGGACGCAACCACGCATTGCAGCTGTCGCTAGGAGGATTCGCTCTAACATGATATGGTGTAAGAGTACGTCTGAAATAGAATCCTTAAGAGAAGGAGCGAATGCCGTCACACCTCCACCGCTGAAAGGGCAGAGGCCTCAAGGGTTGTCATGTCCTAACCGAACTATTTAAAAGCAATTTGCGTCTCAACTTACATTAAATCCCAGGAACATGTCAGGTATCAATCTGCCCTGCTTTTGAAGGGACCAGTCCGCTGAGTCGAAGTAGCGGCGGATTGGCTTCTACGTAAAAGCATGACGAAGCGAAACAAAGCTTTTCAGCAAAGCCAGCGGTCACCGGAAGGACAACTGAACAAAAAGGAACATTACACGCCTCACCTTTCCCAGCAGTGCGCGTTGCTTTAGCTGAAGCCCCCCATACTTTTCAATCAGAAGCTCCTCTTGGCGGGCTATATCCATGTCCATATCCTATGGTTCCAGAAGGGCGCATACGTATCTCAGTTACCAGGAAGAAGGCTTTCATTAAAGAGTAACGTGTCGTAAGCAAGCAAACTAATATGGATTTTTTCCCGATAATGGGCAAATAGTAGGCGCTGAGGCCAAGAGTCGGTGAACCTTGCTGGAACGTGCAATTGACAAACTCACACCTGGGCCGACCCACAACAAGCAACAAATCCAGACCGCAGCACAAACATTCTTCTAACCCGCAGAATACATATGAGCGCGGTAACTAAGGAACCTGAAAAGCAACAAGACAACCCTCCCAAAGATGCTCACCGAGCTGGTGAACGATGAAGAGGACAACTCGTCAGTTGACAGACGTTGCATGGCGGTTCGTTCTTGCCCTCCTTGGCTACCCAAAAGGCACAGTTAGAAGAAAGCCGATGCAATAGGGACTTCTAATCCGTGCTCGAGTTCTGGGATATGTCAAAGTATCTTGTAATTACTGTGGGACAATAAAAGTTATAAACGATGGCTAGCTATCGGTTTCTTGGATAGTACACGGTAACATTTTGTACGACTGAACAGTACGGAAAGTGAGCTCGTCCAGGCCGCGGCCGCGTCCCTGCCAGCCAACCAAGCAGGGGGCGACGAATATTGGCTTTGCATAATATAGCAAGGCGCACCTTTTATAAGTCAGTCTTAAGCATCGATTTGCCTTACTGGGAATCCTTTTTATAACTCAGTCTTAAGCATCGATTTGCCTTACTGGGAATCCCAACGTCACGCTCCAGCCGTCAAGGCGCACTGCTTGTTTGCGCAGGATACGTTTTTAATTTTAACATGTTCTTATCGTTGGATGACAAAGGCTGGCCTTCTTCTGAACAACAAGCATAACTTGGCAGTTCACGTATAAAATGCACACGTGACCACTATCATGAAACATTTAGTCGTATAACTAGAGCGGTGGGACTGGTTTACAATTAGGAAGCGTGTCGTGTATTGCACCGGCGGACATCAAATCTCGCCATGCCATCCCACCGCGCTATGCTGACTACTGATAGGTTCCTTGGGAGCATGGAAAAGCTCTAAACGAGCCTCGTAGTCTGTGAAACGTTAAGGCATGATTAGCTGCCGTTTTCCAGCTACACAACAGGGTCTTTACAGTAAGGGACCGCAACACCGATCTTCCGGAACGCATGCAACCTTCTTAAGGGTTTCATGAACTTCCGCAACCTTTTCCGAATTCTCTGCTCATGAAAGGAGCGCCGCCTCCATCGAAAAGATGCGCAAATGGCGAGCCCAAACTTCACAGACTACATCACAAGGCCCCATATGGGCGGCCATCGTGTGTCCAGGCCGGATTGCATACAGCTCACCGCTTGCCATCCCAGAGAACACGAACATATTCCATACTATGTCCTGAACAGACGAACCTCCGAAAATCTTTGCATAGTGACAATTGTCGCGTTGCACTCCAATAACCCCACCACAACGAGTGTACTCGGCGACCCCGCGACTCTACGTGTAGCACACCACGCACATATGCGACGGTATCATAGCTGCTGTGTGCAGGGCAGTGGCATGTATTGACTACTGCCGGCTTAGAGGCGAATGATTTGCATAATACTTCCGTTTTCGCTGCTCAGAGTTTGCGAACGGAGAGTGTAGCGTCGCAAATACTGCAAAGGCGCAGTGCCATCGAGCATGCTGTTACGAATTGCTCTGTTTGGCTTGGAGGGTATTCCGGAGAGGATGGGTATAGTTCCTGGTAAAATTCAACAAGGTTTCAGTACAGCGGTGTGAAAGGCAACGTGACTGTGCCACCTTAACTTGCTGTGTTGTGTGAGGGTAGATGGGCTGACTAACTGCACGTGGTGAAAAGCCCTTTGTGTGCCGAAACTGTGCGTCTCTCCCCTTGCATGGCGCGGATTGGAAGCAGTTTTCCCAATGCATTTCTTGAATTGTACGAACGTAGGGCAGTTACGGAGGTCCTGGATTTGGGTGAACTTGGGGTGCATGCTACAACGTGCAAGGGCAATCACCATGCGCGGTGGCCCAACAAGTACCGGCTGACAAGCTCTTGCCACCGCCAAGTTTTGTTGGCTTAGACGCGACGGAGCGAAGCGACCGGAGCTTCTAAGGCTGGTTCTGTGGTACTGTCGTACAACTGGTTCGCAGTGGCGACTTAATTCTCGCTGCTCTCCTGGTGAAGTCATTCTGCCTTCACGCAGAAGAGCATACAGCCTTGTCCAATAGTCAGTGTGACAGGCTGTACTTGAAGCCTTACCAATTCAAGTTCCGATCTACATCGCTCGAGTTCCTACGATTCCTACTTAGTTCATTTAAATGTCAACTATTAATGACAATGCGCCATCGACTGAGACTGTAGCCACCGTTCCAGGCAGATGAGCTGCGCGCGGATGTTATGGCTAACGAGCAGAAGGTACCGAGAGATGTAATCGGTCACCGCCTGCAAGCATTCGCAGGCTTTCATCTCGGTCTTCAGCTCATTCGCAGCTACCTTGATGCCGGCTGCTACGAGAAGGCCGCTGAGTGGACAGACCGGCTCCAGCTTCGCGCCGAGATCGGTATAGAGGTGACGCACCAGCTAGCCTCAGAGCCCCGCATAGGCCTGACAGCCGCGGATCACTGTTTTAATAACATCATCGGCACACGGATTCCAAAAGGCGAGAAAGCGGAGGCCCTCGTGCGTAAACAGAGGGACTGGGCCCTGCGGACGGCAAGCGCCTCCACGCCTGGCAGTCATGGCGGCAGCCATTCTCGCGGCGCCGGAGGCTCCGGCGGCGGAGGCAGCGGTGGCGCATCGCGCGGCAGCAACCAAAGGGGTGGCGGCCAGCGCGGAGGTCACGAGTACGGCGGAGGTCGCGATGCAGAGCGCTTTGATCGCAGCGATCGCAATGGCAATAGCCGCAAGGAAGGCCGCAGCGGCAAGTAGTGGTTTTCAGACTCTGGCACAGTAGAGTGGGGCCAGTTTGCCTGTCCTTTTTTCTTGGCCCGTGTGCCGCTCCCTTCAATGACCACTGCCGGACAGTGCAGCGTGCACAGGATTTTTCCTTTTCTGGTTACGATGAGGTTGCCAGCGAACATCGATTTGGGCACCCGCGCGTGCGATTGAGGCGCACGTGTGCGCGATAGTCGGCGCCCGTGTGCGCAGTTTTTTTTTTTTTGGCGCCCGCGTGCGCAGTTGTTGGCGCCCGCGTGCGCAGCTGTTGGCGCCCGTGTGCGCAGTTGTTGGCGCCCGCGTGCGCAGTTTTTGGCGCCCGTGTGCGCAGTTTTTGGCGCCCGCGTGCGCAGTTGTTGGCGCCCGCGTGCGCAGTTGTTGGCGCCCGTGTGCGCAGTTTTTGGCGCCCGCGTGCGCAGTTGTTGGCGCCCGTGTGCGAAGTCATTGGCGCCCACGAGTGCAGTTGTAAGCTTCGTTGACGACTTTCTTTTTTACTCGCGTTGTTTTGCCTTCCCGCTTTGTTCCTCTTATTGCTTTCGTTTTTTTGTGGTTGTGAACAGACCGTCGCACGGGTTCACTTTGTGGCAGCGTTTGCCGTTTCTTCCTTTTTCGGATGTTTCGCGTCAGGCCAAGTGGCCACTCAAGTCGCCTTGGCAGCCGGCCGGCTGGGGGACCCGTCTTTTGCCGGTCTTACTCTTTAAACGTTGCTCCACTTCTCGCCTCGCCCGTGTCTCCAACAGTCTGTCCGGTGCTCGCTGCAGGCCTTCATAGCCGCCAGTAATCTCCAGCCTGAGGATCCATGGATTCGTTCTCGCACGACGATGCTATTGCCTTCCTGTCCAAGCTAGGGGTGGAGGCCCTCTCGAGTCCGGGCCTTGCGGAAAACGTCCAGCTGTCCGTCAGTCGCAACGCCAGCCAATTCAAAGGGCAGCGTCTCTTAGGTCAGCCGCGCGGCCCACCTACCGCAGCCCCCGAAGATTTGCCAGCCCCCAAACGGCCCGCACCGGGCCCCGTTCCTGCCCGTCGGCCAAACCTGGACTCCGCACCAGTTCCGGCAAGTCTGGCCACGCATCGGAAACAACCAGCCCGCCCCGCGGTGGCACCAGAAGGTGTGAAGGTTGAGTCCCCAGGTGAATTCTGGGAAGATAAAGGGGAGTTTTCTAGTTCTACTTTCGACAACACCTTGGGATCTCGGTCGTCTCTAGTAGCGGGTCCGCCTCTCGTGCCGCCCCAGATGAGGGGACACCTCTCGAGCAAGAAAGGCGCTTGGAAGGCTTGGGTTGTGAACGCGCTGGTCATCTCGTGGATAACGTCGGGTTTCCCACTTCGTTGGGTCTCCAGCCCTCCCCCCCGCAGCACTCTGGCCGCAATCATGCTTCGGCAACCGCCAACGCCGCGTTCGTGGACAAGCCGTAGCAGATCTAGTGGCGTCGGGCACGGCCCGTGTTTGGCCGTCGCAGCCCCGTGTGGTTTGCCCGTTGGGGGTTGTGCAGCAGGCAACTAAGCTCCGGCTTATTTGGGACGGCAGGCCGGTAAACGATTACTTGCACGTCCCTTCCTTCCGCTATGAAGACCTGAAGGCGGTTCCTGGTTGGCTACTCCCAGGCGATTATCTTTTTACTTTGGACCTTAAAAGCGGCTATCATCACCTCGATATCGATCCCAGGTTCTGGGAATATCTCGGCTTCTGCTGGAGAGGGGTCTTTTATGTCTTCACACAACTGCCTTTCGGCCTCGCTTCCGCTTGCTGGGCGTTCACGAAGCTCATGCGAGAGGTCATGCGCCCCTGGCGCAAACGCGGCTGGCGATGCTCGGGCTACATAGACGATCAGGTTCACGCAGACCAAAACGCCGACAACTTGGTCCGGCGTAGGGCCGAAGTGGTTGCTCAGTTGGAGTCGCTCGGGTTCTTGGTCAACAAGGAGAAATCTATGCTGGGGGCCGTGCAGCATCGCATTCGTTATTTGGGCATGCTTATCGATACCAAGGACGGAGTATTATCGTGCCAGACAACAAGCGGGACCGCCTCTTATCTCAGATCAGCAGCATGCTCACGGCGTGGCGCTCGACCGCCCGCCTATTGGCATCCATTAAAGGCCAACTCCTGGCCATGTCTTGGGCCCTCGGACCTTGGGCCCGGCTGCGCACCCGAGCTCTCGGTCAACTCATTGAAACTCGGCAGACCTGGGAAACCCATCTCCCCCTCTCTGACGACGCGCGGGAGGAGCTGTCTTCTGGGAGTCGTCTTTTGATAGGTTTAACGGCCGACGGCACCTGTGGTTTCCGTCCGTGGTGCACTCCCTCTTTTTTTTTTTTTTGCGACGCCGCAGGCAAATCCTCCGAGTCCCTTGGAGGTTGGGGGGCCTGGACCATCCTCAATGGCCGGTTAGCGCCAGCGCATGGCGAGTGGACGCCCGACGCCAGTGCTATGGGATCTACCCCGCAGGAACTCCATGCTTTTCTGAACGTGATTCAATCTTTCGATAGCCCAGCCGGTTTATCTGGTCAGTCGGTTAAGGTCATCACCGACAACCTTAATGCAGCGAATGTCATCAACAAGGGCTCCGCTAAAGCGGACAACTCCCACAAGGTCGCCTGCGAGCTGCACAGCTTTTGTTTTGAGCAGGATATCCGCTTGCAAGCGGAGTGGCGACCCCGCGGCCAGAACCAGCTCGCCGATGCGCTTTCGAAACTGCAAGACCCTGACGACTGGATGCTGAAGCCCAGCATATTCCGCAGGCTTCAAGACACCTGGGGCCCCTTCGACATCGACCTATTTGCGTCCCACGCGACTTTCCAGCTCCCCGCGTACTATTCCCGCTATTTCACCCCTACGACGTCCGGAGTCGATGCTTTCAGGTTCTCATGGGGGCGCAGGTGCTGGGCGAACCCGCCATTTCACCTCCTCCTCAGGGTACTGCAGCACGCCGAGGCCTGCCAGTCCCGGCTTTGCCTTGTCGCGCCTTTCTGGCCTACTCGCGACTGGTGGCCTTTTATCACAGACGACGGGGTTTGGTTCAAACCTTTCGTGAGTGGAGTTCGCTTGCTCGGCCGGGCCGTGGATGTCTTCCTGGCCCGCACTTCGGGGGCCCCCCTGCCCAAAGGCGCTTCCCGCTGGTCCACCTTGGCCCTTCTGGTCGACTTCTCGGCCTCTAACATCAACCGTATCCGTGTCCCCGCTGATCCGATCGCGCCCCTCGCACAGACTTAGATGCCCGGGCTGAGGCTCTTTTGGTCGCTCTTGGCGCGGAGGCGGACGCGGAGCTCTCCACCTTGGCGACTCAGTTTGCCCAAGTGGCCGGTCAGACACTCGCCCCGCGGACGTCCAATGATTACGCGCGGTCTTGGAACCCTTTCCGCGAGTGGTGGGTGGCCAGGCGACTGCCCGGAAGCATCTACGACACCCCGGGTGAGGTGGTGGCACTCTATCTGCTCTCCCTGCTGAACTCGTCCAAGGAAGATAAGGTGGGGCCTGGACGGGTTCGTACAGCGAGTGCAGCAATCAGCTCCTATTTCCGCCTAGCCAGCAGAGCGCCCCCTACAGAGCACCCTGCCTGCAGCATCGTCCGCGACCTCGCCGAAAAGCAACTCCAAGGCCGTAAGCTGGAACGCGACACCCTGGAGCCGGCGGACGTCACGGCGCTGGCCCGGCTGGTCGGTGGGCCGGAGCCGCTCCTTGACCAGCTGATGACCGTTACAGCCGTCGTGGTCATGTTCGCGGGGTTCTTTCGGTTCGACGACGCTGCGGAGATAAGCGTTCACGAGGACCTTCTGGTTATCACGGCGACTGGGATGGATGTTTTCATCCCTCGTTCCAAGACCGATCAGCAGAGACGGGGTCACTGGGTCCCCATCGCCCGTGTCGGCGGTGCCGCGTGCCCCGTGGGCCTGACGGAGCGCCTCCTCACCTTAGGAGGGTACAAACGCCGCCCAGACACGCCGGACGAGGACGTCGGGCCCCTTTTGTGGCCGGTCCAGTGGAACAGGGCCGGGGGGTACTTGTCAGGCCCCCTGACAGGCACGGTGGCCCAGCCAATCCACTCCCTGTCGTACCCTGCCTTCTGCCACCGGCTCAACAAGACTCTGCAGGCAGCAGGGATCACCCGCCGCATCACCGCGCATTCCATGCGCATAGGAGGAAACAGCACTGCCGCCGACCGCGGTGTGCCTGCGGACCTGCGCAAAGTGCACGGCCGGTGGCGCAGCGACGCCGTGGTACAGTACTACACGCGGCGCGACGGGGAGGCGAAACTCTCCGTCTCCCGCAGCCTGGGCCTCGCCAGTGAGCAAATGTCTCTTCGGTCTGCTGTGTAAGGCCCTTGGCAGCGGTGCAATTCTCGCCAACAAATCGTCCAAATCGCATCGTTCAGCACCATCGGGTCAGCCAATCCTCCGCCACCAGAACCAGTTAAGGGAGACAGTAACACAGAATTGTTGGCTTAGACGCGACGGAGCGAAGCGACCGGAGCTTCTAAGGCTGGTTCTGTGGTACTGTCGTACAACTGGTTCGCAGTGGCGACTTAATTCTCGCTGCTCTCCTGGTGAAGTCATTCTGCCTTCACGCAGAAGAGCATACAGCCTTGTCCAATAGTCAGTGTGACAGGCTGTACTTGCCCCACGCCCGCCCTGTCCCTGTCAGCCCCTTGCTTCCCTTTCTCCGCTATCCCCAGTCTTGCCCCAGATGCAGCACTGATTGGCTCGGCCTGGCGTCGGCGGGCTCCTGAGAGGCGCCCTCCCCCCCCCCTCAGCATGGTGGCAGACGGAGGCAGCACGCGCGCGGGAGGGGGGTGGTTCAGGGGGCGGGCCGAGGCGCCCGCATCCGGGATGAGGGGGTACACCTCTTGGGGTTGGTGCCTGGTCATTTCTGGTCGGCCGGGCTTTGTCTGGTGCTAAGGTCTTTGGGCGCGCGGGTGCTGCAGTGCTTCTGTTCTCAGGTTAGCTTTGTTTTGGTTTTTGGTGTTGGGCGCTGGCGCCCTTTCGCGGTGTGTTCCGGGCTGTTGGCTGTCTGGTGTGTCGCGCCGCGGTCGGCCGCGCGGCCCCCGTGGCTACGGGCGGCCTGCTGGCCGGTTAGGCCGCGCGGCCACTGATAGGCTTGGCTGTTTGCTCTTCCTGCTGTGTAAGGCCCTTGGCAGCGGTGCAATTCTCGCCAACAAATCGTCCAAATCGCATCGTTCAGCACCATCGGGTCAGCCAATCCTCCGCCACCAGAACCAGTTAAGGGAGACAGTAACACAGAACACCCTATTCGCGACATCCGTAACCGCCTATATTCCATACAATGCAAGAACTGCATTGGGAAAACTGCTTAGGGAAAGGACGGCATCTTAGGAATTTCAGGGCTGCCACCGCAAGTTACCAAATAATGCACGCACTCCGGCCTGCATCCTCCCCTCCCTATCACATATTATCTATGAAAGCAAAACGGCGCACAAAGGCCTTTTCGCCACATGCTGATGGTCAGTGTATCTCCCGTTCCACCCTCACGCAAAACAAAACAGCAAAGTCCCCCCACGGTGCCGCTAAGGTGGCGCAGTAACGTTGCATTCCACACCCGCTCTACTGAAACCTTGTTGAGTTTTACCAGGATCTATGGCTCAGTATTTGCGACGCTCCACTTCTCCACCTCACAAACCCTGAGCAGCACAAAGCCAAATAAAGTACTCACAGCAACCAAAAGTAAGCGTTAAACAAATCATTCGCCTCTAAGCCGGCAACAGCCAATACATGCCACTGCCCTGCACACAGCAGCTGATGCCGCCGTCTGTCTAACTGCTCTGAAGCCATATGCTCACACACTCTTAGCTCACCTCTTGCACACAACCCCCTTCACATCGTATGTCAGTGTGCGACTCGCAACCTCTTTGCAAAGTGTGGTGTGCACCATTCCTGGCCACCACGATTGTAACGTTCACCTCCTGCCGCTGTGTCGAGTTGCTTCACTCCCCAGTTGCGAACCCCCTTTGCCGCAGCTCTCTCACTGCTACCCTCTTGTCCTAGGCTCACCTCGAATCAACTCGCCATTTACCCTCCATCATGCTGCGTTCACCGTCAAGAGCAACACGCATGCCGTGCACAATCAACTCAGGCAAAGTCAGGTTGCCAGCATGGTCAAGATCGCTATCACGCACACCGCACCATCACCTTAAACTTTCGTTAACCGCATAAAAATGTAGTGTCCTGAGCTCATCACGGGATGTGCATCCACCGATCGGTACTTTCCTGAAGTCGTGACATAACATTTGGTACCGAGACGATGTCTCGGTTCCGACCTGAGTTCCAATTTCAGCTGAAGCGGTGCGTTCTGAGCGGGAGGTGGGAGGCCCCGCGGCCACTGGTTGGTCGAGGGCGCACTCTACAGCTAGAGAGGGGATAACTGTAACATCCCGGGCATATCACGGGATCTGCATCCACCGATCGGTACTTTTCTGAAGTCGTGATATGACAAAAAATGTTATCCAAACCCGGCGCAAAAGAGCATACAGCCAAAACAACGTCGTGTCAGTTCTCAGTCCTTAGGACCTTCACCACTGGCCCCAGCTGTCCCCGCTAGCCGGGTCGTCCAATCGCCGGCCTTTCTCCGCCGCTCCACGTCCAGCCCTCACCCCGCTGCGGCTGCCACCACTGCGGTAGCTGCCACCATCACCGTCCGTCGATTCTGACCACCCGCCGCGACCGCCAGCTCGCGAAGACCGACCCGGCGCTGAGCCCTTGGACCAATCATCGTAACTGTTGCTGCCGGCGCTACGGTCGCTACCACGACGTGCTCCACGATCGCCGTAGCGATCACCTCCATAGCCACCGCGATCCGACTTACCATACCCGCCGCGATCTGACCGATCGTAGCTACGCCCAGCCCCGCCGTCACGACTGCCATATGCCCCGCCATCCCTGCTGCGCGACCCTCTGTCATCCCTGCCTCCATAGCTCCATCGATCGCCACCGCCCCTTGGATCAGACCGGCCCCCATAGCGGTCCATGCGGCCTCCGCCACCGCTGGAGCGCGAGCCGCCGGCCCTGCTGGCCATCAGCGTCTCGACCTCCAGGGCGATAGACTTGGGCTTGTCCAAGACCCACCCCCGCTGGCTCGCCACCGCGGCGCAATGCGTCAACAATTGCTGCAGAAGCCGTTCAAGAGGCAAGCAGAGGGAAGAGAAACGTGAAGCGTCGCAGGAAAAAACAGGACTCGTTAGCGCAGGAGTCAGATGCAAATCTATTGTGCACGTTCCAAGTTGATTGAACAGGTCAGTGCTCGCAATATCCTCCCTGGATAACCCGAGGCTAGCTCCACTCCACTCCACTCCACTTTTGGTGCAACTGCAGCCGGTCTGGAGGTTGCAATCCTCCTTCCGTAACCTCCTCAGGTGCTCTCCAACGTCCTCACCTCCGCGAGCTCCGTGGGCACATCGAACGCCAGACCCGACAGCCCGGCCTCCGGCTCGCCTGGCTGTCCCTCCACCGCCCGGATACGGCCCACCAGCCGGTCCAAATCCGCCAGGCTGCGCTGCGCTGCGGCTGGCGCGACGCTGGTCAGCTGCCGCAGCGCAACACTGAGGGAGCGGACGCCATCGACGACCATGCCTGCAATGCCATTAGGAAGCAGCTTCGTCGGAAGTTCAGCAGCATACATCGGACGGCGGCATGGCTACCAGACGGAACTGCCTACCTGCCAGTTCATACCATGTCCGTTGGGCGGGGATGGTTGGACAGGACAGGAACCGCGCAAGCAGTGCGCCGGGGGCTTAATACCGAATGGAATGCATCAAGAGGTGCACACGCTGGTGTTCGTTTCTGCGCAGTCCTACCATACCACCACCACGCACCACAAGTGCTCTGGTCCAACCCCCATGCAATGGTTTCCTCCAAACTCCTGATTCCACCATTCCACCGCAGAGCCCAAACATTCGTCTCCCTGCCACATTCTTGGCACATGGTGGGGGCCACGCGGCACGTGGCCCCGAGAAGGGGGTGGGGATGTCCAAGGCCCATACTCGGTCCAAAGTTGCAAGCGGATCATGCGCCTCGTCACCATGGGCCTCGTCCGCGGCCCCCTTAAAACGTTTCGCACACACCTCGGTTGGTCAGTAGGCGCAAGGTGACGAAGCCTATCTCGTACGTGAGCAGCGAGCGTGGCTGTGGCACCTGTCGGAAGCCTGCCATGGCCGCCAGGGCAGCAGCCAGCACGCGGGATGGCTGCTCCGAGGACAGCAACCGCTCAGCGGCCGGCACGAAGAAGTCCACCACGCCGCTGTCCACCTACAGTTCGCGTGCGTTTGTTATTGTTGAGACCGTCCAAAAACATCATGCTAGCAAGGTATATGTGCTAGCAGGGTATTTCCTGCGTTTCGGAACAAACCGAGCTAAAATGTGAGTTGTTAGCAAGGGCATACCAATTCGCACCGGTATGCCTTTGCTTGCATCTATACAAATACTGCAGCGCGGTGACACACTCCTCCTTCCCCTCCTTTCCCGGACTGGCTCCCTTTCTCTACCTTTTGCTTTCACTCTCCCTTTCACGACTTAGATCCCCTCTTCGCCAAGCGGGTTCCATGTGCCCTCACATCCTCCGACACGAAGCCACAACACACAACAGCAACAGCAGCGCGACCTTTTCCCCGCAGTTACCTTGTCTAACTTGCCCAGCACTGAGCGAGAAGCCGTGCGCATGACATCTCCCGGGTCGGGCGCCCCCACCAGCTCCGCATTGGTGACCTTGGTGGCGCGCAGGATGAGAGCCAACGACCGGGCCTCACGCTCAGTAAAGAGCACCACAGCAGTCCCCGTCTTGCCGGCGCGCCCAGTGCGGCCGGAACGGTGAAGGAAAGCCTCGTTGTCCTGCGTGCGGCGTAGGTAACGTAAGCGGGGTGAAGTGAGGAGGAAAAGTGAGGAGACGCCAGGACGTGTCTGACGCCGACGCCCTGCGTACGAAAACCCACCCATCACTAGGACGCGGAAAAATCCCAGCAGCCGGGCAATTCCTTGGCGGCTATTTCATAAGCTATTTCCCAGCAATTTGAGAGGTGGCATGGCTACGAACCCACCTGAGGCAAATCAAAGTGCGCCACCAAATCGACAGAGGGGATGTCCAGCCCACGAGCTGCCACATCGGTTGCCACAAGGCAGTTGTACTTGCCGTCGCGGAAGAGAGCAAGAGCCTGGAGGTGGGATATAGGGATAGCATGCGTCAGGACGGGACTCGGAAACGGTGTAATACGCATGTCTCCCATCAGATATATCGGTCTACAAGGCGCCAGCCTGGGTTTAGCCGTTGCACGGTGCACGGCGGCACACCGACCCAATACCAGTCCGCTGCGTCTGCTCGCACCGCGCACCTTTTCACGCTGCGCCTGGCTGATGTCGCCGTGCAGCGCATCGCAGCTCGCAAACTCGTTGACGGCCATGTTGACCTCGTCAGCCTTGGCCTTGGTGTTGACGAAGATGATGGCCTTGCCGCCACCCGCAGTGTTGCCGTACATTGCCAGCAGGCCCTGCAGCGCCGACATCTTCTGCGCACCGTCCACCTGCGAAAGCAAGGAAGGTAACAGCAGTAAAAGATGGCAACCGTGAGTGCAACTGCAGCACTTAAGTCAAGAAATCTCGCTCAACACATTGAGCAGCCCCAGGCCAAACGTCATCTACTCGAGTGCACGACAAATCAGGCCAACGGGAGGTTGCAGCATGCGTATCGTACACCGCTGTAACAGGTCCCTCCCCCGATAGTGCAGATAGATAATCTGAGGACTGGTCCTAAAACTCCAGAACGCGTACACTGCCAACGTGTGTCGCGACAGTCCGTCTGGAAGTAAATTCACCTCCTGGCCTAGAAGGAATAGAAAAGTAACTCCGGGGTCGTGAACAGGCTAGGTATCCGGAATCCCCTAGATAGAACTCTTTCCCCCCAATCCCTATTGGGCCATCGCTCCATTTCCCGCTTACCTGCTGCACCAGGAGCCGGATGGTGTCCGCCAACTTGCCAGTGTTCTCCTCGCCCACCAGGTCAATGGTCAACGGGTTGTTCTGGTACCTGCAGCAGCAGCAGCAGCAGCGGTTCACGACCTCGCAATTTTGAAGACGCAGCAGCTGGGGATTTCGGATAACGATTTATGCAGGCACAATTTTATGCAGGTGCAATATGCCTGCACTAGCATCCTACAAACATGCCGGGGGCGATGTCCTAGGGGCCCTTCCTGGATATTTTACCGCTCCGCTTCCCGCTTCCATTCAACACCTCAAAATCCCTATTTTTAGAATTACGCACGACCACAATCCACCTTCAGAAAGCAAATGCACAACATCCCTCCTTCCATTCCGCCATCCCATCCAAAGTGACCCTAAGTTGAGAGCTGCGACCATCCCCTGGGCATCACCACCGATCCGAACGTACCTCTTGGCCACGGATTTAACCCATTTGGGTAGCGTTGCCGAAAAGAGCAGCGTCTGGCGCTCCTTGCCCTCGGGAATGGCCCCCAGGATGCGCTCCATGTCCTGCTCGAAACCCATATCCAACATCTGATCGGCCTCATCCAGCACCGCGTAACGAATCTGCGACCAGACGAGAACATGATATTACGTCGGGCTCAAAAGTTGCAGGTGCCCGCATACATGTTGGCGCCAAGGCATTTCGTGAGGTATTAGGAAGTTTAAAGACGCGAACGATGCGCCAGGGCCAACGAGCTACACTGTTGTCCTTGCTGTGCGCTTTGCGTTGATGCAAAGCAAGACACGGGCTGCATGCTACACGCACCGCTGAGCGAAGGAGTGAAGTGCTATGAGTCAGTAGTGCAACACAGGTCGTACATCGGCTCCACCCTCGTAAGAACTATAGCCAACATTTGGGCCCCCCTCTTTCCATGATACATCCAGAAACCAGAAAACAACACAACCAGGCTTTACCGTGTCCTAAGGTGCCTTCGGCTCTTACGCTAGCGTCCCACATGCTTGCCCCGGCGGCCATTTGCCCCGACCAGCCTAGTGCGCTAGTGCATAATAGCCTTCATGACCCTATACCCGTTACTTACGTTATCCAGCTTCAAGCAGCCACGCTCCAGCAGGTCAATGATGCGGCCCGGTGTGCCGACCACCACGTCCACACCGTTCTCCAAGGACCGGATCTAAATTTTGACACGAGCACAGGTTTTCGGGGCACGGCAATTCGAGGCGGATGCCGTGAGTTCAAGTGATGAGAGACGGGGAATGGCATTAAAAGTAGCAGTGACGATAGGCACCCAAGCCCTTTGGGATGCCTCTTGAACTGTGTTCCGGTGCGCGCACTTGTCCGCGGGCCCTGATCTGTGAAAGTAGTCTGGAAGACTAACCCAAGCTACAAGCCGGCGCCCACTACGACAAGAGACTCCCTTTATATTTCGTTTCATAACAGACCCTCACGGATGTAGGAACACCTTACTTTCCTGTGCAGCAACCCCGGCTGTCGTATGCAACACCGACCCGACCCACTTTTCCGCACTGGGCCTTTGCCAACAACCTTCCTCACCTGCGGCGAGATGGAAACACCGCCGTAGAAGGAGTCGACCTTGAGGTTGGGGCAAACTGACTCGAACTCACGGGACACCTGGTTGGCCAGCTCACGGGTGGGGGCCAGCACCAGGCACCGAGGCGCGCGGCCCTTGCGGGGACGGGACTTGCCATTTTCCTGCGGGACCGAGTAAGGACGCGTGATGGCGAGATGGCTTTAGTTTGATGGGGCTAGGCAGTGCCGATGTCTCTCTCTCGGGTATCGATATGCATGCGGGACAATGCAGGAGAAACAGTGATGACGTCGAGCAGGAACATATGGCGTTGCGAGAAGAACGTGGCACAGGACAAGCGATAACAATACACGGGTGTGGCATACCATGAGACATTCAGCTAATATTTCAGGGCTGGCATGCGTTGGTGATCTGGGCTTACCTCAAGCAAGTTCTCAACAACAGGCAGAGCGAAAGCGAGGGTCTTGCCCGAACCAGTCTTGGCGCGGCAAACCACATCACGACCGTTCATGATTGGCTCGAACACCTGGAACACAACGGTAAGTGAGCGGGGGCGACAGAGACCCGGCAAGGGATGGCAGCGGAGTCATCGAAGCTCAGGGCCGCGGCTTGGGGAAACACTTGCGAACTTCACGAAATGACTGCGAAATGCATGAACGGCCAACTGGGTGTCCCTCGCGACTCGCACCACCGGCACCCAAAGTGCCGTCCTGCCTGCCAGCCGCCAACCTCATTACGAAAACGCACCTGCGCCTGTACCGGAAAGAGGCTATAAATGCCACGAGCCGCAAGCGCATCCATAGTCTCCGTACAGAGCCCCAGGTTGGCAATCTGCGCACGTACGCACGGTTGGGAAGCGGTCAACGTCACGTGCAAGTGCCGTTTAGGGAAGTGTTTAGGGAAACATACTCAAAAGCACACGGTGGGACTGTTGTTCCCCATGACATAATACTCAGCGTACCAGCAAGGTCTCGTCGATCTCCTTCTCTTGCCCTGACAAAGCGGCCTCATCTTCGTCCAAGAGCTCGTCTTCATCGTCGAGCAAAGAGCTGAAGCTTGTGTCCATGTCCGTAGCCTGCAATTGACAGCCATAATGCTACCATCGCTTACTGGACAAATTTGGTATGTGCAAAGCAACTTCGTTTCAAGTCGGCGTAACTCTCAACGGTTCCCCCTTGGGCTTAATGTCCAAATGCGATAAATGAAACCTTTCCAAAGGCGCACGTTATAACAAAAATAAGGTATAGCTAGCAAACGAAATAGTTGTGTCGCGCCGCCGGACATGCGTGAGGGCTGCAACAATTTCACTGGTGTTCACCCTTGCCAAATCATACGTAGCAATCCGGGTTGAATTGGAAGGAGTTTAACTTACGATAGCGCGGCCCAAAAGCCTCCGTGGTGCTACACAGCGAACACCACAAAGAGGGCGAACTGGAGCCACCACCCGCTGAGTGCGGCCGGAGCGGCAAGGGGCCCCCAAAGCATACTGGAGCTTTGTCAGGATCATCCTTGCCTGGATATCTGCTGTAGGGTTGCTGCGAAAACGCAGGTACACGGACAATTAGTCCGCTGAATACCCACAAAGTATCAGCCTAATCACAGTGGAAATATGAAGAATATAATTGAGTATGTGAAGAAAAAATGTGACATGCGGATTGAATGAGACTGATGTTCGCAAGTCCCGCAGGAAGTTGGTTGAACGGAAGTTCGTTGCTTCCCAATCCAGGGCAATCCAGGTCCTTTTGGTTCTGAACTGTCTACGCTCACGCTCCATGTCCTTTGCCAATCTTCCTGTGTACTGTAATAATTATGTCTTCCTGCCTTGCGTAGGTTGCCCCAAGGCAGACCTTCTCAGGCAGGAGGTGTCCCTCCTTAACCATGGAACATGTTCAAGTGTCCGAAATGTAATCTATTCACTCTACTTCTATTTCTGGTTTAATTGCACGATGCGTAGCACAAACATGTCGGTCAGCCGTATGGCGGCCGTCCTTCAGGCCGGGATGAGGCACGGTGAACTGCCTATCATGCTGTTTCCATGTGTGATCCAGGTGGGCTCAAACTTGCGGCCGCCAAGCGAGCAACCAGGCTTGTAGCGCATTCATAAGGCGCAACGCCTAGGGCAATAGGTTTTGTGTCGGGTCACAACACCTAGGGTACAACGCATCTTTGCGCTACCACAGACTCCAAACTCGATCGCGTGCGACTGCGAACTCCTTCCCTTCGGACGCTGGCAGTGCTTCCACACGGCCAGCACCTGCTGTGGTTGGGTGGTTGCACGCATCTTCACGCGCTAAGCCCACGCCGTCACCGCAAAACCAGGGACGCGGTTACAAGACCAAAGGCGCGCAACGGCCACCCTGCCCCATCGCCCTGCAGCACCTTCCTACTCTAGCCTCCTTCCGCCCACTCTACACTTGTCTCTCTTTGCTGTATCCAAGAACCCAAATCCCTGCTCCCCTTTTTTCCCGCTCCCCGGCCCCTCACTCCCTCTGGCCTTGGCGGCGTTTCCCTGAACAACGCGACATCTACACCCCCGTATGCCCCCCTCTCCCCCCACTCCCCCGCCCACACTTCTACGCGGCGAATCCACAGGCAGCCAGCTTCCCCCTCGTGCCCGTAGCATCTACAGCTGCATCATCGATTGCCACGGCTCCAGCACCGCCTGATACGTCAGCCTCAGGTGATACGGTTCCAGCGCTCGGCGCCGATACAGCTCGCGGTTGTTCTAACTCACTTCGCCTAGATGGCGGATGCTCGCGCGTTGTGGGCTTCGCAAGGGCCCTATCCACACCCCAGCTGGCGGATAAGGGAGGTGTCGACGCCTCTAGCAGCAGCACGCGCAGCAGCAGTGCTTCGAAATTCAGCAGTACCTGCACCTGCACCAGTACCGGTACCATTGCCAGCGCCGTTATCTCTCCTAATCCTGGCACCTTTGGAGGCTGCGGATTCGGCTACCACAGGCCTACCATTGCCACAGCCACTGCGACTGCGACTGCCAGCGATTCCGTCAGAAGCGGCGGCAGCGTATTACCGCGGCCCGTCCTGTCTTCCCTTTCCGAACCGGGACCCGCAGCCTGCGCGCTGCTCCCAGCCTTGTTGCCGACGGCCGGCACCGACTTCACGAGCTCCCTTGGCAGCATCCGCCACCAGCGTTATCGCCACCACGTTTTCCTTGCGAAACGCAAGCATCATCACCTCAACCACGACCACGACGACCGCAATTCCTTCCAGGAACGGTATCATCATCATCGTCATCATCAACAGCATAAACCCTACCTGCACCGGCACGCGGGTGAGCCGGGTGTCCTGTCCAGGCTATCTCGAGGCGTGGCTACGGGCTCAGACGAGTCCGGGACCCGGGACGGTGCGGACGGTAGGGCCTCTCCCTCTTCACCGTCCTCCGTGCACACAGCACTCGCAACAGTAGCAGCGTCAGCAGCTGCATCAGCAGCAGCTTCGTCGCAGCCTTCGTTATCGCCATCGTTGCCTTTATACGGACCTTTGCCGTCAGCAGCAGCAGCAGGGGGCCCGGAAGCTTGTAGGTCAACAGGCGCGTCGGCGGCTCCGCCGCCGCCGCTGGGAACCACATCCACCGCCAGCTCCTCCTCCTCCTCCTCCTCGTCCCCCTCGTCGTCTTTTCAGCAATCCACCTCCCTTGATGCAGAGGCTGAGCGACTCACCGATGCGCAAATCTTAGCTCGCCTGATGGGTTACTTGTGGCCTAAAGGTAAAGCAGCGACTTTTAAATTTTCCTTTCGACTTTTTATTTAAAAAAAGTTTTATTTCGAACACACAACCGATTTGCTTCGACCCAATAATAACAGCAAATCGCTTTTTTTCATCTCGTCCGCATCTCCTTGATTTGCTCCCACCCAAATCACCAAACTTCCGTCAGGCGAAGGCTTCCGCCCGTCCCCAACAACACAACACAGACACAGACATATACAAGAAATATTACTGTGTTTGCCTGCTTAATCACTACACCTTACCGCAGGTCCACATCAAAGCCATAAGCTTATACCGTAAGCAGCACACACGAAACCTTGCCTGCCTCCAGGGTCGATTTTGGGCGCGTTCTCCTCCACCGTCCGCATTCCTTTTCCGCCTCCCCTCCAACAAAGACAAAAAAATTAAACCCCCACGCATAACCCAAATCCAAGTACATGATGATAAGTTGTATTCCCATTCCGTCTTAGGACGGGTCAAGTCCGCAGGTGCTTTCTTGGCTTTGCTGCTTCGCTTCTATAGCATCTCGCCCTCCCCTGAAACCCGCCCAACCCTCTGATCTCATATTGATTTGGGACGCGTCCCGCACGAGAGCCGCAGACAATTCCGAGTTCAGACGCCGAGTGGTGACAGCCACCGGTCTTCTGGTGGCAGCCAAGTTGCTGAACATCAATGTCCCCATATTTCTGAAGTTGGCAGTGGATGCGCTGACGGCCGCGGTGGCGGGCACGGCAGCGCCGGCGGCGATGACGGTGTACGGCATGGCGCTGGGGCCCATTGCGCTGTTGTTGGGGTGGGGGGCGGCACGCGGCGGCATGGCGTTTTGTAATGAGCTGCGTAATATTGTATTTGCCAAGGTACTGCGGTCCCGCGCTCCCACGCCCCAGTGGGGGAAAAGGGCGGAGTCCGGGATCGGGTGTCGGGTCGGGGGTTGGGTGTCGGGTCGGCATGACGGGCAAGAAGGCGAAACCTAAGACGACGACGAGACCTACGTTCCTTTCCGAGCATGCGACCGCATGCGACATGTTCAGGGGCCCGTGTGGCGGTGGTGTAGGATTGGGAATTGCTTGGGCTGCACTCCCTCCCCCTTCCTAGCCAATGATAAAATGGTCAGTAAATAAAAATATGTGTTCCTGATGCGGTACTTATCTTCTTCTAAGGACAATGAGTCTATTTACCTGGTCTGGTACCTGTTTCAGTTGTCAGTGGTTCGTCATATCCCCCCCCTTCCTACAGCCCTTGTCTCCTCCTCCTCCTCCCTCCACTCGCGCAACCACAACCATTCCTTCCACTTTTCAGTGCTTCCTTTTCTCGGCACAATGTTCACCGTTCAGTCATTTCGGCACAATGTTCACCGTTCAGTCATTTCTTTAATGAAGAATTAAGTAATTAATCTAATATTGAATTATTAAAAATCAAGCACCTTTTTCTAGTAAACATTACGGTACACATCGTACTTCCCATCGCACCTACGCGATCCTGCAGCAGCAGCAGTTTACGACTTTGGACCCGCCAGAGGGCAGTTCGTGTTTTTCCCGCTCCTGGACTTTGCTGCCCCCAATTAGTCAACAACACCCCTCCCCCCACTGGTACCCATATATGTCTGGTATCTGCTTTTCAGTCGTCAGTGGTTCCTCTTTCCCCCCTCCCGCTCGCTCGTGGTTCCTCTTCCACCCCTCCCGCTCGCCCTCGCGCACACAGGTATCCCAGGGCACCATTCGCCGCGTAGCACGTGAAGTGTTCTCTCATTTGCATACCCTGGACCTGGCATTCCACCTGTCCAAGCAGACTGGCAGCCTGTCCCGAGTGGTGGACCGGGGGACGAGGGGCATCAATTTCATACTTTCCAGCATGGTGCGGACGAACGTCTGTCTATGTTCGTCTGTGCCTGGTGTGTCTGTATGACTGTGGCTGCGTGTGTCTGTGTGTGTGTGTGTGTGAACGTTACAAGTATCTGACCGGGCCTGACACTGGCCAGGGAGGCCTGATACTGTGTGTGTGAGTGTGTGTGTTCGAGCTGGGAACCTCGCTTACCTGCCTTTCCAGCTGGGGGATAGCAGCGCTACGTTTAGCACTATGTATGTGTGTGTATTTTTGTATGTATGTATGTGTGAGGTAAGGAGGGAATACGGTCGTGTTTGAGGTTGCGGCACAGCAGCACAATGACCGATAGCAGTGTTACACAGTGCACCCTTTCGCCCTCTCCTCCCACCCACCCTTCTCGACCTTCCCCCTTCACACGACACACCCTTCCCCTCCCCCTCCTGCGGCATTTCTCTTCTCCTGGACAATCCGTCTATCTTTGGTATCTGCTCCATTCGCCAGTGGTTCTCTTACCCTCCCCTGCCCTCTCCCCACCTCCCCTGCCCTCTCCCCTGCCCTCTCCCCACCTCTCCCCTGCCCTCTCCCCACCTCCCCCCTGCCCTCTCCCCACCTCCCCCCTGCCCTCTCCCCTGCCCTCTCCCCACCCTCCCCTGCCCTCTCCCCACCTCCCCTGCCCTCTCACTGTTTTTTGTTTTTTATTATTATTTCCCTAATTGCTCTCACCCCGTTACGCCTTTACTTCCTGTTATGCATTCGTTCATTGCGTCATCATTCCTTCATCCGGTACGACACTTCGCTTGGTTTCTCCTTTCTTAAGCATTTCCTTTTTTTTTATTCTCCCTTTTCAGTCAAAATTTCAAATCAGCCAGCCAGCTACTACTATTCCTTTAGCAGCATTCGCATGTCTCCTTGTCCTTTATCGCACCCGCCTCACCTCTTTGCTACCCTTTTGTTTTTGCATGTGCCTTTTGCCACTACTTCTGCGGCCTGGCCAGGTGAGTCCAAAGGGTGGTTCGAGCTTCTTTGGTATATCGCGTTGGCGTCGGTAGGCTAGCCGGAATAGATTAGTCGGGTCGGTCGGGTCGGTCGCGCGTTTTAGTTTTTTTGGGGGGTTGGGAGGAGCACTTGCATACCGACAGCCTTTCAGTATCAGCAAATCAGCCTTTTCTCCTGGCCAGCAACTTTACGCCACCTTTTACGACAACACTATTTTACTCGCCGCCTTCACTACTACATTTTTACACCTACTTCTTTACGGATTGGCTATACAATTCAGCTTTTTAATTCTGGCGGCTTAGGTAGGTAGGATTTCCGACATCAACGTCACTTCGTCATCCCGAGGTCACAGTCGTCACAGTCGCCACGGACGCCTTTCGGTCAGTTTTTACGTTTGCTACTCTCTTGCCCTGGCAGCAGCTTCAATCGTGTGTGGTTCGTCTTTCCCCACCTCCCCTGCCCTCTCCCCACCTCCCCTGCACTCTCCCCACCCCTCTCCTGCCCTCTCCCCACCTCCCCCCTGCCCTCTCCCCTTCCCTCTCCCCACCCCTCCCCTGCCCTCTCCCCACCTCCCCTGCCCTCTCCCCACCTCCCCTGCCCTCTCCCCACCTCCCCACTGCCCTCTCCCCAGCTCCCCTGCCCTCTCCCCACCACCCCTGCCCTCTCCCCACCTCCCCCCTGCCCTCTCCCCACCTCCCCTGCCCTCTCCCCACCTC